GGGCCCGGCTTTGGAGGGGGTTGTTTTTAATAAGTTTTGTGGGGGGCTGCGGGCCGGCGCCAGGGTCGCCAATTTTCCCCGGGGGGGGGGGGGAGAGCCTGTGGTTGGTAGGCTTGGGGGTGTTTCTTTGGTTTGGGAGGGGTGGGCAAAGGGGGGGATGATGTGGGAGAGGAGGGAATTTGGTGTGTTGGAGGTGGGTGAAGAATAAAGGCTCTTCCCGCCGAATGATCAACTTCCACTTCAAAGTCTCCAAACTCACCTCCCCCTCCCAACTCTTCGGGTAATTAACCCTCACATTCCCACTGGTGCTCCCGTGCCTCCCCCGAACCACATCCAACTTGTTTTCCTTATCCCTCCCAACCCACATCACCTCCCCGACCCTAACCCCAACATTCCCACTCGTGCTCGACGTCTCCAAATCAACCTTTCTTCCCTCGGGGTTATACACCCCCCCATCCAGCACCAGCAAAACATCAATATCCATCCCCCCAGAGGTACTCCTGAACCTCGCCCCGTCCGTCACGGCAAGTTTAGCCTTGATTTTCCCAGACGTGGTGTGGACATCAACCCTGTAATCCCTCACTGGGGTAACCTCCCCTGCCTTCCCGGCAAGAAGGTAACCGGCCCCTTCTGCCGCCAGGACCTGTGCCAGTTCATACGCCTCCTTCGCGGCGTCGATCGGCTCGGTAAGTTCCACCGTTCCGGAGGAGGACTTCACATTGAGGATGGCAGGTTTGGGGTGTGAGGGGTCGAGGTCTGGCTGGGGGAGGATGGTGACTTTGATGTTACCTGCTGTGGACTCAAAGGAGAGGTAGTTGTACAGCGGCCAGGAGCCGGATATCGGGGCTGAGGTGGTGTTGGTTTCTATGAGGGGGGAGATGAACTTGAATGACGGGGAAAGGGTTAGGGACTGAGACCCCGAGCCGGCAGTATCAGAAACAATAGACCCAACAGTGGAGGACAGGCTGGTCGACTCTGCGATGCTCAAAGACAGGTTATCAACCAAAAGGATAGACAAAACAGTTGTTTTGACTGAGAGGGTCAACAGCGACGAGGAGGGGGGGGTCCAAACCGTGGCGGTTAGGTGGATGCATGGCCAGGGTGTGGTTTGGTCGTTGGTGTCGTCAGAAATCAAAACATTAGGAATGGTGACGACCAGCTTTTGGGAGGTCTCCTCCCAGGTGATGGCAGCAGCGATGAGGTCGTTGTTGACTGTTGTTTCCACCACCAGCTTCGGGTCAGGGTGGTCAGCGTCAGTCTGTCGGAAAATAACCGAACCGTGGATCTGGATGGGTTTGTAAGAGTGGTGGTCGTTGTTGTGGGAATTGTTTTGGATGATGGTCAGGGGCTTGTCGGACGAAAACAAGACGTCAAACGACTCGGGATCACGCGTGATGCGGTCCGTCCCGCAGGAGGAGCCGTCCTGCCAGGGGAGTTTGTTGTCGAGATCGGGGTAGGTCATCTTGGGTGGTGGGTGGAGGTGTGGTCGCTGGAAGCTTGTTAGTCTGTGAGATCTCGGGCAAAAGAACCAGGCAGCAGCGTGTATTTATGATGAGTGGTGGGGGGATGTGCCAATTGGAGAGAGCGTTACGCAACCCTCCATCGGACAAAACAGCACTTCAGATGAAAAGACGCGTAACACTGACCTCGTCTCTCACGCTATTGATGAGAGTGGTGAGGAACCCGGTAGACAGCAAGACCAATCCCACCACAAGAAACGCAAACTTGCAATAACTCCTGTCAAATGACGATATCCTGTTTTCAATTCGTTCCCTCCATCGGGGGCTGTCTTCACCAGAACCACCATTTCCAGAGTCTCTCATGCTTTCAGGCTCATGGCCCAAGAGCCCCTGAGTCTCCCGCAAGCGTCCCATTGTACCAGTCGGTGCCGAGAAAGTACTGTAATTCCTGGAAGCGTCGTGCCCACCTTGCAAACTCTGAGGCGACGTGGGTGAAGGTGTATAAGCCGGCGGGGCGTCTTGCGGTACCAGTCTCGAACTCTCACCCTGGTACGCAGCTCTGTGTTGGTATGGCGTATATGATCTCGTAGACAGAACCGATGGTCCAGCAGATGATGATGATGGCGACGAGGATTGGGCGTACGTACCCGGCCTCGAAAACGAACCACTATATCCATGAGCTCGAGACGACCCAGTATACGCAGACGAGTTGTATCCAGAACTCGTCAGCCCCCCAACCGAGTAGTCCTCCCTCGCAACCCCTGACACTCGTCTCTCCAACTCGGCCTCCCGTGCCTTGCTCGCCGCGGTGGTGAGGCTCGGGTCCTCAACCCAGACATTCGGCACATGCGGCACGATGGATGATGTCGCAACAGCAGACGTGTCGGATGAGGTATCATTTGATGACCCAAAGTAACCATCGACAGGAGACAGGGCGTCAGCATCGAGCCCCTCGTCGTCGTCGTCGTGGGTGCTGGCCCGTGCATGGCCAAATTGAGGAGGCCGATGTGCCGATTGAGACAGTTCACGGCCCTGTTGACTCGGAATGTCGTCAATTGGTTCAAAATCCGATTCATCATCCACCGCCGAGTACAAGTTGTCTGAGAACGGCATGGTTGGTGATGACTTGGTACACACTTGGCGGCGCTGTTAACACAAGGCCCCTGATCGCCAAGGCGCTTCGACGCGATGGAAAAAGCTTCTTTGGACGACTGCTTCACAGCATTCACCTGTTGCAACAACACAATTGAGCGACTGACAGGGTAAATTCAGCAAAAGTTGAACGAGCATAGATCCGGGAAGGAGTTATGGTGTAGGTAGTCAAAATTCACTGACAGGGAATGAATCCTGCCTCATCAAAATGTTCACCAGTGACCTCACCTGGATAGCGACATGGTGTGTAGATTGCCCATCTGTGCGCTGCTATCAGCAGAGGAGGGGTAACACAAGTCCGAGGTGCTCATGGCTTCGTCAGCTAGAGACCTTGCCGGGATTTTCACGGTCGAGGCCACTGAGCCTCGAGTCCAAATCAGGAAGCTGCAAAGGCAATGAATGATACCATACGACTCGCTTCGTGCGGGGGAAGCCACTCGACCTCCAATGTGAATCAAGACTGACAAGTTGGAGAACTCAAGGAGGGGGTAGTTATCAATCTCCCAAGCTTACGAATGCCTGCATGAGGTGACGAAGTTAGCCGAAAATCACTACATTCCAAAGAACAAGCCTCGTCAGCCCGGCGTGTTGACAATTATTCTCTTTTATTGTGATGCCGTGAGCGGTTCTGATCTCACCAGTCGACAAACGTCGTCTATGATCTGAATTCACAAGCTTCCCCTTCTTTCGCCTTCTCTCTAATGTGGTATCTCCGGTGCAAAGAGCATCCCAAACGCCGTGGCAATGTAGCCAGCAAAAAGCTCAATCAGCCCAAGATTATCCTTCTCCTATCCAGACGCCAAGATGATGCTGAAATGTCGCTCGTTTTCCCCATAAACAACTCGATATGCCTCCCTAACTTCCCTCTACTTCCCCTTATGTACTTTTTGGTGGTCGATCTTGTCGACTAATTAAGCTTCAAGAGCTTCTTCATGTTTTCGTAGCATACCCAAGTGATGCTGAGCGCGGGGGCCACCTTGAGGATGTTGGGCGTCAAGCCCTTGTACAATCCGCGAACCCCTTCATTCTTGACTGTCTTCGTGGCGACGTCGACGATGCCTGTGTAAGTCGGCGGGTGCATGGCTGTTCCCTGGGTTTGCAATCGGGTGCGAAGAACGTTCAGAGGGTACACCATAGTCGCGCCAAGGGCTCCGGAAGACGCTCCAAGAACAGCAGTGGCGACGTTTCCGATCTTGGCGTCCTCCTCATGGATTCCATAGTATTTGGCCATGGTCTTGATGTACTTCTTCTTCAGAAACTCGAATGTGCCGATATCGATGGCGCTGTACGGAAACATGCCGATGAGACCTAGCCCGAGGCCACGGTACGCTGCGCGAAGTCCGCCGTCCGCCCACATTGTCTTGGCCGTTTTGAAGAGCAGAGCATTGCCCTGCAAGCCGCCCTGAACTGTCTCGCATTGGAGCCTGAACTTGAGAGTATCGACAGGGTAGACGCAGAACTGGGCTGTCATTCCGCCAATGCCACCAGCAACGAATTTGGAAACGGTGCTGATCTGAGTCGGGTCGTCATGGCCTTCGTAGGCTGCCAAGAAGCGCTTAGACGCTTCATACGAACCAAACTGCAAAATGGTCAATACTCGATGAGCTTAGCTTTGTAATTTGACAGCTACTTACCCGAATGGCAGACTCCGGCATGATTTTGACAACATTCAAACCGTTTCCTGCAAGCTTGTTAGCGTGTTGCCCAAGCAGAAAGAAATGTGAGATTTGCTCACCTGCAAAGAAGGTGCGGAAGCCACCTGTTTTCCACAAGGTTACCATCGCGTCGATGATCGGGCCACCAGCATTTCGCAAGGCAGCAAACGGCCGGCCGCTCTTGGCGGCGGTGAGTACCGGATTATCGACATTCTTTGTGTTCACAAGGAGATAGACCTTCAAGCGGTCCAGAGGAGCGGTAGCTGTTCGTGAAACACCACCAGAGACGGCGCCAGCGAGGAAGTAACCTGGTTCAGGTAGTAAATCTGTCAGTTTCGTTTGCACCTCCTCTGAGACCTCTTCGGCCATGACAGAAATATCCTCGGGCCCGTCCTCGTAAGACTCGTAATATGGCATTGGCTGGTTGGTGGTGCTCGGCATGATCATTTGCTGAGCCGAGCTGGCAGCGCCGCTATAGCGAACGCCAACTGCAGCGGATGAGAGAGCCATATCGGATCCCGGCTCGTTCTCGTGATCGGGGGTTAGATGTTGTTTCTGGTGGTGTAATTGCGACTCTAACTGCGAGCGAGATTGCGGTTTGTGGTAGTGTTGCGGGGCGTGTGGTGAAGCAGGCACTTCAGGTTCGGCGACGACCGTCGTCTCTGGCGAAGGCCTCTGTGTGTACTTGATGGCGGTTCCCTCGGGGTTGACAATCCTCAAAAGTGAACCAAAGAGAGCTTGAAAGAGGAATCCCGTCGTACCTAAACCCTCTAAAGTGTCATCACTAACCAGCGAGTCTCCCTCTGCATTGACGGTAACGATCGAAGAGTAAAACGATAAAACAGCCTCGAGCGGGGAGTTGTGGTGGTGGGTGGGCATGAACAGAAGAAAGTCTCTTTAAAAGTTGTTAGCGTGTGAAGTGAATTGAGGCCTTGATCAAGCTCATGTTGCTCCCATTCATGTGCCCCGCCATTTACGTAGTGAATATGAATGGCACCTGCCACCAAATTGTGCCAAGCCCAGAGGTTGCTCTTCAGATGAATGTCACCAGCTCAAGCTCCAGCCACAGAATTTTGAGCAGTGTGCTGCCACGAAGAAAATAACAGGAAACAGAATTACTTGACTTTAAAGAAGCCGCCCAAGGGAAAAAAAAGCCAAAGAGACAATCGGGAATTGAAGTGAAGAATCTCAATGAAAAAGCAAAATCCACAGTGGGTGGGTCGCCCCAGTCTTGTCCAAGGGTGGCACATGAAATCGGCAAAAAAGGGGCCAACAGCAACAAGACCAAGTATATAACAATAGAAAAATAACGTACCTCCACTCGTCAAAACTGATGAACCCGTCGTTGTTCATGTCTATTTCGTCAAAAAAGTTGGCCAACCTCCTCGAGGGCACTGACAGGCCGGCACGCCGAAAGGCCGTCTGCAGCTCCTTCTTGTCGAGCCGGCCGTCCTGATCGCGATCGATAGCCTTGAAAAGCAGACTAAGCTGCTTTTCCGCCGTCTCGACGAAAATTCGAAATTCTAGTTGCGCATCATTTCAGCCTCCTTCATTTCCACCAAGTCCTGGGACAGCGTAGAAACCCACCTTCATACTGAATCTTTCCATCCCCATTCGAGTCCACGGCCTTGATGATCTCCTTGAGCATATGCTCGGCGTTTTTCATGGCTGTGCACCCAACTGTGTAAGCAAGAACCAAAAATCCCCAGACCAGGGGTAAAGCGCTCTCACGGTGGTCTATCCTCTGTAACCCCTTTTGCAGCCCCTTGTAGTCAAGCTCCCCGTGTCCAGCGGGATCGAGCTTCTGCCATAGGTCCTCCACGCGCTTGTCGCGCTGGTTCTGCGACTCCGCCATCTCTACCTCCAGTTTCGAAACAACATCAGAAACCTTCATTCCCGCACCCCCACTATCTCATCGTATGTGGTTCTTCGGCCGCGACGAGGGCGTTTCGACATGCAGTAGTCGCAATCGCGGGGGAGATCGTATCGAATCGTATATGGCAGTATCAGGCGCAAGGTTTAGGAGCGGTAGCTAGCAATGACGGCGGGTAGTTCGAGTCGCGCTTATGACGTATGAGGGAAATTCCCCAGCACCCAAGGCCAGTGGTAAAAATAGATCAACAGTCGTTTAAATGTCAACGGGTTGAGACAGTGTTTGAGCCAAGGCTAACGGCAGGTCATCGTAGGAGAGAGAAACGGCCCAAAAAGTGATCGACGCTTGAAGGTTCAGCTCCGACTGTCTGGTTGTTGCATGGCGGTTGCGATAAGAATCGGAAAATATAGAGGGACCCTCTTCTTCCACAGCTTCGAGGCTGTTGTTGCCGGGAAATCTTGGGGTGTTCGGGATCCGCAAGGGGGGGTGGACAGTGGCAGAAACCAAAAGGCGGGCCGAAAGCAGGTGTCCAATGAATTGAGCACGAGATAACAACCTAGATATCAGATATCTATATTTGAGTCAAGGTACCTTCCAACAACTCGCTCAGCTGAGCAGAGGCTCTTTATATACAAAACGCAATCTTCAATAGAACTTTCTTCTAAACAGCCAAGACCAGTTGTTACGTACTCTGACCTCCTTTTTACAAGCTGCTTGCCCGCATCATCCCCGCGCTGGCCAAGAAAACTGTTAAGAGGTACCTCGTGACCTGGAGGCCAAGAAGCTGTTTGTCACTCTTACCCCACTCTGGTCCACGCGCGTCATCCTATTCCCTGTCCACTCATTGGCCAGCCTCGGCCAGGCCGCTGATAGTCGGTAGCCTCGCGCGATCGGGCAACGCGATAAGATGCGGCCTGTCAATACAGCAGCCCTGCTTAAAAAGAACACTAATTACACCATCATCTGTTGCCAGCAAACGGCTTCCCAGAGATCCACACTTCCAATGACAGCCTTATTTGTTTTTCGGTGATAGAAGCCTCAGAAGCTGCGGGCAGATGGCTCTTTTACAACATCAAACATGGCGGCCAATTACTGGGAATCGACCCAGCGGCGGTACTGGCAGTTTACCAAGGAGGAGCTGGCTGCGATGCGACAGAAGCTCGAGGATGAGGACCCGAATCTTGTCCACATGTATCCCCTGCCGCAATTGCGTCACATTAATATCTACTTAAACCGACGTATGCCCTTCTTCTTCTTCTTCTTCTTCTTGGATCATCGTCAATGTCATGGGTGGCTAACAGCATCTCCAACCATAGAGTTCAACCATCTTGCCAAGCGCCTCGGTGTACGTCAACAAGCACTGGCAACTGCTCAAGTCTACCTCAAACGATTCTACACCCGCGTCGAGATCCGCCGTACGAACCCCTACCTTCTCGTAGCCACCTCCCTTTACCTCGCCTGCAAAATGGAGGAATGCCCACAGCACATCCGGCTCATCGTCCAAGAAGCTAGAGTTCTATGGCCAGAAACCTTCCATGGTCAAGACACCTCGAAACTGGGCGAGTGCGAGTTCTTTCTCATCTCCGAGATGAGCTCCCAGTTGATCGTCCACCAGCCCTACCGGACACTGACCCAACTCCAAGGGGAATTCAATCTAACGCCAGAGGAGTCACAAGCGGCATGGCAGGCCATCAACGACCACTACATGACCGACCTCCCCCTTCTATACCCACCGCACATCATCGGACTGACAGCCATCTTGCTGGCGATAACATGTTACAATCGCCAAAACGCAGCTGGAGGGGCCAATGCCGCGGGGAACAGTGGAGGGTTGGTAATGGCAGCTAATGCTCTAGCACATGCCCAAGCACAATCACAAGCCCGGGCGGCGGCGATGGGAGGCAACAGCGGACCAGGAACGCCAAACCTGACTCCTCAAGGGTCCTTCGCTGGGGGAAACTTCTCCTCTCAGGGGGGTAGAGAGCTCGGGGACGGGTCCAACCCCACTGACCCCAAGATTGCCAAGATGCAGCGGTTTACAAACTGGCTTGCGGAGAGCAATATCGATATTGAGGGGATGATTGACTGCACACAGGAGATCATCTCGTTTTATGACTGCCATGAGCAGTATGAGGATTTGGTTGTGAGGGATAATATTAAGAGGTTTATCAAGGCGAGGGGGCTTGATAAGTGACCAGCTGCTCACGACAAACCTTTTTCCTCACGGGAAAGGATCTGGTGGACGATATCAGGGTTTTCTCCAGATGGAGAGTCGCAAAAGCCCCTCTGCTTTTTCTCTCCAGGATGATCTCGAAGCATCGTCGAACCAAAACCGGAGGCACGTGGTTTGTTCAAAGAGGCCATGCGAGTTGACGATATTTTCTAGCTGGGTATTTGTACCGACTCGATTCTTATTGCCATTCAGCGCCTATTCTTTGCATGGCCTAGATGCCCGCCTTCGCTCAGCCATATTGAGCCGAGGAGACTCAACATTTCATGACTTTGTCCTTTCTCTTGAGTATTGAGTCAGTTCTCGCTTTCCTCCTGCCCAGCACTTGGGATATCCCCATCTATTGCGCTATTCGTTCCTGAGGGGCTCGGTTGAGGAGTGTCGGCGTCGGGTTCTTCCGCAAAAGTCAATGTGATGGTCGGGTAACGGCGGCCTTGGACATGTGTGGTGAGAACACATATGGGTCTGTCGGATATAGCTTGGTACAAGGCAGTGGAGGAGCCATAGGGGGTTCATGACTTTGCGGCAGTGAGGGCATGTCTTTTGTTCTTGTTGTCTGGCGAGCGCGCGGCTGAAGCATTCCTCTGGTAAGAAAGGTGTTAGTGGTTGGTTGTGAGAGTGGTTGTGAGTGAGGGGACATACCATGGAACCAGCACCCGCAGCTGATGACGGTTTCGCGGTCCCAGTGGGAGGGTGTGATTTTGTCTAAACAGATCAAACATCTTCCTGAATCTGGAGGGAGGGGGAAGTTGAAGATTTTTTTGGCGGGTTTCATATCCGAGGGGGATGGTTGTGAGGGTGGTTGTGAAAGTGAGATTGGGGGGGAGGCGGGGGGTGAACTCATTTTGCGTGCGCTTGATGTCATATGGGGTTGGGGTTGGGTGAAGGGTGGTGATGGATGATGAAGTGGTCGATGTAGTAGATGGGCGGGTGTATTGACAGAGAATAGGTTCTGTCAAGCGGAGGAGTGTGCTTAAAAAAAAGAGTATGTGGAAGATTTATTTCCCAGATGAAAAGCCTCAAAAAGTCTATCTTTGCCGCGAGCTTCCAACTGCCAAAATCATTAAGCTTCTCTTCAGCCACCAACCATGAAAGTTCGTCTTGCACACAAGAAGACTTTATCTCCTCGCTGTACATGCCACAAGCTCACCACCAAGCAACCACCACCATAACACCCCAAAATGAAGAACTTGTCGAGCTACTCATCCCTTTTATACTCCCTCTACCTCCTGGTGAGAATAGTCGTGGCTTATTGCACAGCTGATGTCCCTCCCGTCGTCGTCAACAACACACCCGAACCATTCACACCCCAATATGGAGAACTTGTCAAGCTATTCTTCGCTTTTATACTCTTTCACCTCTTGCTGATAATATACGATACTGATTGTTCACCTGATGACCCTCCCGTCGTTGATAACAGACGCAATCGATCCAGACCCCGGGCCCCTCGGGGACAACAAAAAGGGGATCCGTGTGCTATATGTTTTGAGGCTAAGCTTCGGGGGTTGGTTAGGCTTGGATGTGGACATATATTTCACAGTGAGTTTTGACCAAAGAATGGTATGTCTAAACGGTGGGTTGACGGTTGTCTAAACGCAGAGAAGTGTATCCTTCCCTGGCTGGAAATCACCTTTAGGTGTCCACTCTGTCGTAGAGTGTCGCTGTACGTGCTGAAGAGGAGGGAGAGGAAGAAGAGGATGGACAGGGCCAGGACGGGAGTGTGTTTGGTTTTTTTGATTGGTATATATGGTCTTGGGTTTTGGGGGTTTAGGCACTTGGTTTGAGGGCTGGGTTGGGAGGATTCGGCTAGGGGGTGGGATTTTATATGGCAGACTGTTTGTTTGGTAGGGCTAACTATGGTAGAGATCCCTTTTGCTGGCGGGGAGGGGGTTGACCTGGGTTTGTGGGGAAGGGAGTATTTTGTGGGATGGGAGTTATATTAGAGATTCACATCCTTGGTATATAGGCGGGGGTGATACTCGTCGATCATGGCATCTGTGTAGACAACTTTTGGTCAAGTCATTGAGGCACGTTGTTACGTCTACTGGGCGCGAGAAGTTCGAGGGAAGCTGTGTTGAAAGTCGACGACAGATGCACAGGGAAGATGGAATACTTCCTCGTAGGTTACTGTCATGACAAAACCTGGTCATGAGGCGATCTGGTTCAGACTCTTTGACAGGCTACTAGCTAGACATGACCACTGTGAAGCTTTGGGTACCGGGTAGGTTTGTTTTTCGGCTCGCTTTACGTTTTCCATCGCAGCGAATGAAAAGTTAATAACGGTTTTTGGTTTCTTCTTCTACATGGTCGTGATAATACAGTGTGTAAGCATGGCCACGCTTTTTGTCCCTTTTTTCCACCCTCATTCCATTTCATTACACATTCTCGCTCGCTACTTCGCTTCTGCTTTGAAATTTTGTTTTGATTTTGTGTGAATCTCGAGGAGAGGTAGGTAGGTACCTAGGGAGGTTCAATGGTAAAGGGCAAAGGAGAAAAAAATGATGCTGGTTGGTTTGTTGAACAATCCGGGTATATACCGAATCCACCACACCCCTCTTTTTATCCCTCCCAGATTCCAACTGGGATCACTCAACTCCAACAGCAGAGAAGCAGTAAACCTGCTCCCTCATATAAACACGGGAACTTTAGTGGCACCCGCTCAGAAACAGCAAGTAGTCGAGCCGCTCGCTTTCTTCTTTACAATCGGCTGACTTCTAGGCATCCTGTTTCTCCATGTTGTTTTCCTCTTCTTCCTTACCACCACCACTGCTACCGCACTTCCTATCCCCGGAACCCGCCCCACTATCGCCCGTCTAAGAGCTGTGGGTGAGCTTGCTGAGGATGGTGCTGCCAGCCTTGCTAGCCTTGGACTTGTCGCCGTCAAAGATGGCGAGCAGGCTCTTCCAGACCTGGCCGGGCTCCTGGGAGGCGTCAATGGCCTTCCAGATGCCCGTCTTCTGGTAGTAGTTGACCACAGGGGTGGTCTGCTTGTGGTAGGTCTCGAGGCGCTTCTTGAGAGCGTCGGCATTGTCGTCGGAGCGTTGGATCAATGGCTCGCCCGTGATGTCGTCGGTCATCTCCTTCTTGGGAGGGTTGAACTTGACGTGGTAGCTGCGGCCCGAGGCGGGGTGGACCAGACGGCCGGTGATGCGCGCTACGAGGAGCTCGTCGTCAATCTTGAGCTCGACGGCGTGCTGGAGGGTCTGGTTGCGCTCGCGGAGCATCTTGTCGAGACCCTCGGCCTGGGGGACGGTGCGGGGGAAACCGTCAAGGATGAAGCTGCAGTGTGTCACATGTCAGGATCTGTCTCGGGAACAACTCTGCCACGTTTGAGGCATAAAAACATACCCGCCCTTGCACTCCTTGTTGTTGTCGAGCTCCTCCTTGATCATGCCAATGACAATCTCGTCAGAGACGAGACCGCCGGCATCCATGATCTTCTTAGCCGCTTGGCCGAGGGGGGTCTTCTTGGCAACCTGGGACCGGAGCATGTCACCGGTGGCCTGTCGTCGGACGATGCTGTGGTCAGCGAACCGGACTCGGGTTGGTAGGGTAGATCGAGGGCCAATTGGCTTACAAGATGGCAGCAGTTGAACTTCTCCTTAAGTCTGGGCGCTTGTGTTCCCTTGCCTGTGGTGTGCAGATGCGGCGGTCAGTCACTGGTTTGGGGTTTCCCAACATTGCGAAAGCAACATCATCAACATACCAGCACCGGGAGGACCGATCAGAATGGCGCGGACCTCCTCGACAGTCTTCTTCTGGGAGCTGGGACCAAACTGCTTGGTCTCGAGAGCCTGGACTCTGCCCTCCAGGTTGGCAATGACGCCCTGGAGACGCTTGACCTCGTCGTCGATGTATCCCATCTTGTCGGTGATGCTGGTCCGGTTTCGGTGACTGGCTAAAAAAAGAGGTGGGCGGAAGCTAGAACTGGCCTGAAATCCGGAGACGGAGTAGGAGTCGGGAGGGAAAGAAGCGGGAGAAGAAGGTAAAGAAAGGACAACTTGACCAGAGGCCGGAACTGGGTGTGTAGACGGAGCGGAGAGTTGTCGAAAAGATCGAGAGGCTGGCCGCCGGAAATTTTGAGGTGGGTTAGGATACCGTCCCCCGAGACGGGACAGGAACAGGCTGGGGCACGGCGGGCGGCGGGCAGGCAAAGAAAATACAGGGAACAAGGTTTGCGACAATTGACGCACGTTACAGCGCGCTCCAGGTACACAGGGTTCTAAATTCTGGGGGCTGCAGGGCGCCGTAGCGATTTCAATCTAGAATAGGACCACCTAGGCTGAAAACAACGGTTCAGTGTGGCGGCGCTTTGTTTGAGGGCATTCTCAGATGGGTATCTTTTGCAATAGCATTCCAGGTTCCTATTCCCATCTTTATGAACCTCTGAGGCCACACACATTGGCATGCTGCCATGCTGCAGATGTCCGGCACTGAGCCCAGCCCAGTGACAACTGACGTCGCAACTCCTGTCCGCCGAGGTCCCTGGAGGTGCCTTCGGACGAGCTTCCATTCGTGCTGCGAATCAGCAGGCTCCAACACAAGCCGACCGGCAAAGCGGAAGAATGACGGCGAGTGGAGTCGAGGCAAACCGGCGCTTTCGGTGCAGAATGGTGGGACATCCCGAGGAATCCATCACACGTGGAACTGGTCCAGAGGTCCAGTCTTCGGACGTCTCGTAGTTGTTGAAGACGTCTTATATATCCTCAACAAATGCTGGATCCGATCTCTACAACTCTTTGCCTGATATCTTCCCCTCATTCACAAGGTCAATATAAACTTTTTTTTCAAGCGAGTCCAAGCTCTCACCACCCCCACGGCCGATGACTGGGGTCTTCACCAACTCGCTGCCAAGCCACTTGCGCTCAAGAGGTGATGCACATCCCTGCCTGCCGGTTGACAAATTGACATCATTGAAGAACCCGGTGACTATAACTGAGCTTGATATTGATGATTCCCAAGACATAGAAACCATAGAAAGGAGTATGACGCCTTGTATTACTTTTCCCGAACCACGATGTGGTACCAGGTATATTCCCTCAACGCCTAGCAATGCTGAATACGCCGAACATGCTGTGTGTCCTGTCGAAACTCCAAAACATGTCTGTATCTTGAACTCAATCAAGCCCACAATATCTCTCCCAAACATAGCGTAAAGAAACAATTAACTCTTTGAACTCCCAGCAACACTCTCTCCTTCCCCATCCCCCCAAATCTCCTTACTCTCCAACTCCACCGCCCTCATCGCCGTAGCCACCTCCTCCAACTTCGCAACCACATCCAGCACCCCCTGATTCACCCTCTGAAAATACCTATCATTCGCCTCCCTCCTCTTCCTCGCAAGCAAAATATCCACATCCGTCTCCTCCTCCATCCCACCTCCCCTCCTACTCCCCGGCCTAGCACCAGGAGGGACACTCCCTGTTCCAACTGTACTCTTCCCCCCTTCCGTATTCGCCCCCTCACCTTGAGTCCCCGGCCCCCCAGCACTCGTAGCAGCAGCCGTAGTCTCCCCCGGCTTAGCGAGCTCGATCGCCTCATCAGCCTCACTCCTCGCCCACGCCTGAGCAAGCGCAATCTGCGCCATCCTCAGCTCGTCAAGCTTCCTCTCGTGGTCAGGTCCAAACACGCGCGTGCCGCCGCTGGCCGAGAGCTCGACTTCCTCGAGGGTGGCTTGCATCTCTGCCCATAGGGCATCTGTCCTATCAGTTGCGCGGGTGGACTCTTGCCTGGGGAGAAGGGGGAGGTTGGTGATGCCTAACCCGCCGGCATTGCGGCCGGGTTGTAAGGGGGAGGCGAGACCTCCTAAGCCGGGGGCGGCGGCGGTGGTGTTGATTGTTGCTGGGGATGTTAGGGAGGCTATCGAGGTGACACCTGGGGAGTTGAAGGGTTCTGGTGGGGTGCGGAGGAGGGAGGAGCCGGGGCGGGAGCTGCCTGGTGGTGGTGGTGGGTGAGAGGAAGAGGGTTGGGGTTGAGTGTTGGTGAGTGAGGCGTGGGATGGAGCTGCTGAGGGGTGCAGGAAGAGGGATGGCGGTGGGTCGCGGGGTTTGAGGGGCGTTTTGTTTGGTTGAGACATTGCTACATGTCTTGAAGGTATTCGAAACGACAGATATGATGAACCTCTGTGAAAAGTGAATATGTTGATGGCGGTGATGATAAAGTTCAACGACAAGATGAGCTTCAAGCTCTGCCAAGCCACAGGTGAAGGCCCGTGCTTGATCACAAGGGCGCACTGGCCACCTCCAAGTTCGCCTCCCCACACTTTTCCTAGCGGGGGCTGGTGCCTCAGGCAGAAACAGCCCACCGCCCAATCCAAAGGTAGGGTTTTCACGCCCTACTGCGAAACTCGGCTGACGGTCCAAAATTTCGGTGACACTTTCCGCCCATCACGAACCTCAGAGTCCAGCGTCAATCAACAAGTCGGTACGTACGCCCCGCCCCGCTACCATTGCAATCCACATCTCATCAGCAATTGCGAGATCCCATCAAAGTCTACCAGGTCAACTAACATCAACTCTCTCGACGTCTAGCAAATATGTCTGGTGGAAAGCCTCGTGGTCTTAACGCGGCGCGCAAGCTGCGCAACAACCGTCGCGAGCAGCGCTGGGCCGATCTTCACTACAAGAAGCGTGCCCTCGGTACTGCTTTCAAGTCCAGGTTAGCAACGAATCCCGAATAAAATCGACACTCCCGATCTCTCGAACACCGAAAGCTAACAGTGGTGGAATAACAGCCCCTTCGGTGGTTCTTCCCACGCTAAGGGCATTGTCCTTGAAAAGGTCGGCGTTGAGGCCAAGCAGCCCAACTCTGTACGTCTTCCCCGAATACACAGCATCGATTGAAACCGATTCTCGAACACCCGACGAACAAACCGACTGACTGTGGTGGTGATGTAGGCTATCAGAAAGTGTGTCCGTGTCCAGCTCATCAAGAACGGCAAGAAGGTCACCGCTTTCGTCCCCAACGATGGTTGCTTGAACTTCGTTGATGAGAACGACGAGGTTCTCCTCGCCGGTTTCGGTCGCAAGGGCAAGGCCAAGGGTGATATTCCCGGTGTTCGCTTCAAGGGTATGTCTTCGCCACCACATCAAGCTTTTTGCGCTTCACATCTAACCCCCCAACTACAGTCGTCAAGGTTTCCGGTGTCGGTCTCCTCGCTCTCTGGAAGGAGAAGAAGGAGAAGCCCAGATCTTAAGTGCGGGGCACTCTCAAGACAAAAAGTGGTACAAGGGTTGGCATGAGGAGTCTGCGAGGCTTGTTTTCATCAGCATACCATTTTCGGGTTGGGGGAGTCTGGGCTCTCACGGGGTAGGTTTGGTCCGAAGAATAAGAGATCATTTCACACCGAACCACGACGATCCGACCGGCCAAGATGATTTTATGGGAATGGCGTCATTTGGGAAGCTTACATCTTTTAGGCAAAGAGCCCTCGGACTGCTCTATGCTGGAGATAATGGTTACATGAATATCATTACGAGTCCGAATAAAATCACGCCGAGTGCCCTCCTCATCTTTGTGGTCTGTCTCTCTTGGTTGGATTGAGTGCTATTTTATGTCTTGCCTCTCTCTGGACAGTGGCTTAGGGAGGTTCTGTACCTATTAAAGCTTCCAGGTCGGGTGTTGTTCCTCCACTTCTTTATGTGCCGGGCTTTATATGAGTTGTAATGTCGTACAAGATCGGGTGCTCTATTTTGACTCTTTGCTGTCAAGCTTCCTCTGTGGCATCGAACATTGGCCTACTGTTCCTCCTTCTCGACTGCTTTCTCGTCCTCAGAATAATACCTAACCAAATAGTCCGCCCCCAACCCCAAGCTGATGGCACCTCCCGTGATCCAGCACCCATTCACAAACCACCACCAGCAATCCTTGACGCTCTTCAAGTTGACCCTCTTGATCATGAAGCCCAGCGTAGCGGCTGCACCACCGCAACCCCCAATGAAGAACGCCGGCCCCGCCCCCGTGGCAACTCCGGCTCCCGCCAACAAGGCAACTTGCACGACCGCCAACCCGGTAAGAACCTGCTTCGTCTCCTTGTCGTGCTTGAGCGCAATACTCTTGATGCCGGCCTTGGCATCATCCTTGATGTCCTGATGGGCGTAGATCATGTCGTACAAGACCGTCCAGGCAACATTACTCCCGTATAAGAGACCTGCTGCGGTCAAGGCTGCGGTGTTGGATAGGAGATCCACGCCCAGAGCGGGGAAACCTAGGATGGCGCCCCAGGAGAAGGTGAGTCCGAGGACGAACTGGGGGTAGTAGGTTACTCTTTTTGCCAAGGGGTAGAGGGTGACGAGGAGGAGGGAGGGGGTGGCGTAGTAGAAGCAGGAGGTGGGGAATTGGAGGAGGATGGCGAGGCCGGTGAGGAGCTGGGCGCCGGTGAAGAGGAGGGCGTTGAGGGGGGTTATGGCGCGGCGGGCGATGGGGCGGAGGCGGGTGCGGGTTACGTGCGGGTCAAGGTTGCGGTCCCAGAGGTCGTTTATTGTGCAGCCTGCTCCGCGCATGATGATTGCGCCGGAGAGGAAGAGGAGGGAGTAGGTGAGGACGGTTGAGGGGGGGGAGTGGGAGAGGGGGGCGGCGAGGAGGGTGGAGAAGAGGCAGGGGAGGTAGAGGTAGTAGGTTCCGGCGGGCTTGTCGAGGCGGATTAGTTCTGCGTAGGGGACCCAACTAGGGGGGAGGAGGGAGAGGAGGCCGGTTGAGGGGGGGGTGTAGATTTGTGGTGGGGGGGAGGGAGCTGGAGTGGTTGTGGTCTGAGTTAGAAGTTTAGAGGTTGTGTGGTAGGCTATGAGGGACCTGGGGGTGGAGAGCTGGAGGGAGAGATGTCGTGGTGTTGGTGAGAGGCGGGTATATGACTGAGAGGGGAGCCATGGTTTGCTTGTGGTTTTGGTAGTTGATAGTGCTCGCCTCGAGGCAGGCAGCCGGAGGAGCCGGTGACATGTTGACATGGTAAGGCTGATGATATTTGGTGATCGATTGGATCTAGTGACATGTCAGATGTTGTTTATTTCATATGAACCCCGGGTGGCTTTCTCTTCATGAAGCCGAAACTCACTCACCTGTGCGCTGCCGCCTTCCGTTTTGTAATAGACTTTGGAGTACCAGGCAACCAACAGAAGGTATTTCTCGTAGATAGCCTCTAGTTTCCTCTCCTCAAATAAAACCTTCTTGCTCCCTTATACAATTCCTCTTTTTCTCAAAATCCCGACCTTCCCACCGACACTTCCTTACACATACACACATGCATGTGAACCAGTCTCAGCCTTGTCAAATTTCTGAGCCACACAAACTGACTGACAGCTCTTGGGCCAAACTGACGGTTGATTGGCTGCAAGCTGCATTTGCCCCACCTCAGCCTTTTGCTTGTCAATTACGAATCCTAGTCCCCTCCATTCTCAATTCAGCCGGCGCGGCGAAATCACAAAGAATCGCGTTCGACGCGACGGCGACTGCGCATGTGGTTAACTTTGCCATCTACGCTGCGGCAGCATATTCGAGCGACATGTAAATGGCCCTCTCTCCATCGATACATCTCATCAAGAACACGACAATACAATGCGACTGCCAGCAACCGCTGCCTAGGTCGCTTCACCCGCCGTCACGATGCCGACAGCTCAGCATCCCCAGGCAAAGTTCGACCCTATCCCGCCGGATCTCGATTTGCCCACGCTCGTTGACAGAACACCAAACTTTCAATGGGTAGCTCGTATCACGGCTGCTCAGATTCAAAATATCGGTCCTCAAGAGTTTGAGAAGCTTGTTGTTCTTCATGTGGTACTTGGTGGGAAGCCACTGGTTATTGAGAAATGGAACAGGCGACTTCCCAAGGACCTTTTTGGTCCCAAGTGGTTGGAGGAGATGTACAATAAGAAACGTAGGTTGACTTGCGCTTTACCTCTTATCATGTACTAATATTCTTGAATGACAGAGGAAAACGTTCGCGATATTGTCGGTCAATGCGACATTCCCATGACCACTGGTCACTACCTGCGCTCCATGAAACAGTTGACAAATCAGTGGACGCCCGAGAACTTTCGCGACGAACGACGACAGCGACTCTACCTAAAAGACATCGACTGCCCACCAGAATGGCACGAGTACCTTCAAAAGAAGGTCATTCCACCCAGCCTCTTTTACATGAACGAGAACGTCGACGAACGGAGTCCTATGGGGCAAAGTGACGACGACTTTGACATGTTCAACGAAGGCACCAAGTCCATTGCGCCGGCAGGAGATTTGATGAGCAGCTTGCCCGAGCCGATGCGCGCCCAGAATCTGATGTGTTACATTGGTCATGAGGGTACCTACACCCCGGCGCATCGAGAAATGTGCGCCAGTTTGGGTCAGAATATCATGGTGGATGCTTCAGGCGATGAAAATGGCGAGAAGCCCGGAAGCTCCATTTGGTTCATGACGGAATCAAAAGACCGCGAAGTTGTCAGGGAATACTTCCTGTCGATGCTTGGTCATGACATTGAAATCGAGAAGCACTTTGCGCAAATCAACGCTTGGAAGAAGGCCACCTTTCCGGTTTATATCGTGGAGCAGAAAGCTGGAGACTTCGTTCTCGTGCCCCCCTTAGCGCCCCATCAAGTATGGAATCGTGGGACCCGGACCATCAAAGTTGCCTGGAACAGGACGACCGTGGAGACGCTCAGGATGGCCCTGGAGGAAGCGCTACCGAAAGCCCGTCTTGTCTGCCGCGATGAGCAGTACAAGAACAAGGCCATTATCTACTACACTCTCGAAAAATACTCGAAACTATTGACGGACATGGAAAGGACGTCTGAGACTGGGTTGCTTGGGTTCGGGCAAGACTTGATCAAGAACTCGTCTCGCACGAAGCAGTTGACTGGTGACTTCAAGGCTCTCTTTGAGCTCTTCACCCGAGTCCTGGTAGACGAGATATTCGGGACGAAAGAAAAGGAAGTCGAGTATATCGAATTTGACTCCTGCGTCACCTGCTCCTACTGCCGCGCCAACATCTTCAACCGGTTCCTGACCTGCAAGCACTGTGTTCGCCAGCTTGTTGGTGGTGACGAGGATACTTATGATATCTGCATGGAGTGCTACGTCATGGGCCGGTCATGCCTATGTATTTCCAACCTCACTTGGTGTGAGCAGTGGCACTGGCAGGATTTGGTTGAGAAATACGAGGACTGGCGCGCGCTCATTATTAAACATGACGGATATGTCGATATCAACACATCCCCGTTGCCGCTCGAGCTTGCACGCAAGCGATACGGCAAGAAGACGGTTGCTCAGCTTTGTCAAGAACAACTCCGGAGACGCCCATGGAAAGATATCAGCAAGGTTGACAAGCCAAAGGAACCTGCTGAGGACTCGGAGGTTGAAGTAGACGAAAATGGTCGGCCAAAGAAAAAGAGAAGGGGCGGGAGGAAAGCGAAGAAGGGCGACGTCTATCGCTGCCATGTGTGCCAACACAAGGACTACACCTACAAGTTGGCCTTCTGCTCCAACCAGGGCTGCAATGACGCATATTGCTATGGTGTCCTCTACCGAGCCTTTGACCAGATGCCACAGGAAGTAATGCAGAATGAGAGATGGCAGTGCCCAAAGTGTCTCGGCATATGCAACTGCGGTGCCTGCCGCAAGGCCAAGAACGGTGTTCCCTATATTCCTAAGAAGACACTCTTAGGACACGACACTCGGCCCATCGCTGACGATCGTAGTGTCGAGCTTCTTATCGACTTCAAGATACACAACCTGTCGTGGTTGAAGAACGCTGGCGATGAGACGCGAGCTCTGTCGAGCAAAAGGATGCAGAGACTCAGAGAGGCCGCCGATGCTGAAAAAGCAAAGTCGTCCCAGCTCGAGAACGATGTGCTACAGTTACCTGATGGAGCTTTGGCTGACAGCCTGGAAGAGGCGGCATTACAGCAGGCTTTGGTCAACGGTGGTTATGGCGAACAGCCTGCGGTACTTGGTGTTTCAGGGGAACATCCGCCACATCAAAATGGACATACCGGACCTGCCGAGGTCGCCGACATGTCTATTGTTGAGGACCAGTCTGCCTACCCTGATCCTTCAGGACTTGGACGCGAACGCGGCTTGGGCATGGGCTACTACGAGCAGGACGACAGCGAGGACAGGATTCTGTTCGACCCCTATCAGCAACCTTCAGTCGAGAGCTTGATGGCGCTCGACGACGAGCCCGAGCCGGCCGAATATCTCAAGAAGCAGCTTCGCGTGGCCAAGCGTCGTGCTCGTTTGGAGGAGGACGATGACCCGGATTTTAGAGGACCTAGGTCACACAGCAAGAAGAAGGCCAAGACAACTAATACCCGTGATGGTCAAGCGGATGCACTTAACAACATGGACCCGGCTCTGTTTGGTGATGTCACCATGGTTGGCGCCCCGGCTGACGGCACTCCTACCGAAGGGGAAGCTCCTGCTGTTCAAGCTCCACCGAATGCCGATGTTCCAGATGGCCCAGCCCAGGAGGGAGAAGAGCCTCGTGCCGACTCGTCGAATCGGCCTGCTCTTCGCCACGCGCGACCCAAGATATCATACTTGGTGGATGAGAATGGCGAGGAGGAGTTCAACGAGATTCTCATTCCGCGTTCGCAGAGGCCTCAACCTCTCAAGGACTATAACCCTGCCGATGCGACCAAGGATCCTCTTGATCTTGCGTCCGCGGCGATTTTGGCGATTGCGGGCGGTGCCGCCGGTGCTAGTAAGTCCGCTACTAGATCTCCTGCTCCACCTGGCTCTGGATATGCCGCTGTAACTGGAACTGGTAAGAGACGTGGTCGGCCTCCGGGTCCTCGCAAGTCTATGCCAGCAGGAGGGTCGGCTGAGCAGACGCCTTCTGGGCACCCGAAGCCCACCAGGAAACCGCCACGTGATCGGACATTGCCTGTTCAGGTCAGCGATGATAGTGATAGTGACGTGGATGCGCAACTTGCTGGGGCTTTGGATGGGTTTGATGAAGACGGAGAACCCATCGAGTCACGACCTCAGTCTCGGGGAGGTTTCACGCCTGTGAATGCGCCCAAGAGAAGGGGCAGACCGCCAAAGAATGCGCAGCGAGGCCCTTCAGCTGGTGCTTCGGGTCCTGCTGCAGGATCACCGTTCATGTCCATGGCGGATCGAATGAAGGCTAAGGGCAAGAAGTTCAAGATCGCGTCAAGGAAGTCGAAGGCTGCGCAGGATAGCACACCGGCTGGGCAAGCTGCTTCCCGGTCTGTCTCCCGTGATGTCGACACCCCTACAACGACCACAGCGGACAAGGAACCCGAGAGGCCAACGAGAGCCACAAGGGGCAGATCCAAGGCAACACCAGCTCAAGATTCTGATATCGATATGGCGGACGCAGACTTTGATCCGAACGCGGCTGAAGAGGCCGTGTCCGAGGCTTCGAGTCCTCGAGCCAGCCCTAGCCCCTCGATGCAGGATTACATGGAGCCTATGGATACGTTTATGCCTAGCCCGTCTCCAGTTCGGGATGTGCCTAGGGAACCGACAGTTATTTTGAAGACGCAGACACCAGAGCCGAAGAGAGAACCTACACCTGCCCATGATGTTTCGCCTTCGCCTTCGCCATCTCCCGCTAGAGAAGCGTCTCCTACACCGGCGCACTCCCACCCACACGAACCCTCACCGTCACCGTACCACTCCCCTTCGCCGCCGCCCCCACCACCGAAGCCAACAGGTCCGACGATCGTCAGGCTCGTTTCCTCGGATGAAGAGGGCTCCGAGTTTGACGATCACGACCACGACGATGGAAATGAATCACAGTCTGAATCTCGGTCAGCGTCGGAGAGTGAATCGGAATCAGAGTCGGAGGAGCAGCCAGGCAGGGGAAGGGATCCGCTTGACCCGAGCGACAGTGATGACTCGGATTCAGATGATGAGGATATTCCTGCCGTGAAGCAGGTTGTTAGCACGGCGACGAGGGGTGGGAGACGAGGGGGGATGGTTGGTTTGGCTGGGAGGGGAGCAGGGACAGCCGGATCTGCTGGACGGGGCGGTGCCACTGCTGGACGGGGGAGAGGTCGTGGGAGGGGAAGACCGAGGGGACGGGGCCATTACAAATGGAGGGGTGGGGGTGGGAGGTGAAAAGGTGATGGATGGAGTTGTGAGATACCCGTATTTTGTGTTTTTTTTTTCTTTTTTGCGTTGAACTTGCAAGACACAAACTCTTAACTGAGAGTCAGTGTGAGCGAGTTATTTGTCATGGATATCTTGAGATTGCGATGGGTGTGTGCCATTATGGGAGTTGAAATTATCAAGGATATGGTTAAGTGGTTTCTGGGACTTGTGAGCGAAAGGAAGAGTTGATGGAAGATTGCGGATTTTACTTAGGGATGCAAAAAACCATGTGTGTTGATAGTTTAATTCGATGAGTACATATTTCAACAGTGTTCACAATGACCATGTGTGACAAAGATGCTTCTCAGTTGTCAATCATTCTATTGACGGCTCTCTCTCTTCCTCCATCTTCTTCTTTCCCATTCATTCATGCTTTGCCGCGATTCCAAGCCAACCCCCTATGCATTATGTACAATCTTTCTTCCCCACATCCCTCCCCCAACTTGTTCTTCTTCTCCCCTGTTTTCACCACCCTTTTTTCTTTCTGCAAAAGCCATGCTGCGCACGCGTTGTGGGTTTGGTGCGAAGGACGAAAAAATCAATATGTTAGTCTAAAAGCAAAACGCAACAATTTGTCTCAGCCTCTTGTGTGTTCACTGAATATGTTTCGAAAGGCCATCATCCATACTGGTACCGGCTTTGGCGTTCTCCTCGGCCGCCTTTTTGGTCTTTTCCTGGAGGTCCTTGATGGAGGAGGAGCCGGAGCTGCGGTCGGCCTTTACGGCTTCTTCGCTGTTGGAGGCGAGCTCGGGCTTCCAGTGGCCTTTGCCGGATTTTTGCTTGGAGAGGGAGTCTTGTTTGTGGTGGTCGAAGTTTTGGGGGGAGGGGTCGGCTGGCGAGCACGGGCGAGTCAGTGGGGAGTAGGGGGTGGGAATGGGGGAGGATTAAAAAACGTACCGCTGTTAGACTCCTTGAGGGATCGGAGGGGGGTGGTGGAAAGGGCGCGGCGGGGGAGGGAGGTGATGGTGGGGGAGGTGGTGATGCGGCGGAGGGAGAGCATTTTGGTGGATGGGTTTGTGGTTGTCGTAGAGGTGGTGGAACTGAGGTTGTTGCTTGTGGTGGTTGTATAAACGCGGAAAGGAGAGAACGTTGAAAAGAGCTCTTTATTGGAAAAAAGGAGAGGGATTATTTCCTGCTGTTGCTTTGCTTGCTTGCAATTGAGTGGTTGTCAATTGGATGGGAGCGGCAATGGGGTTGGTTATGAAGCCCCGGGGGAGGGTATGACGTCACCACACGTAGCTTATCACTGGACAGTGTCCCTGGTTTTTTGGTAGGCCAGGCAGGTCAATTGCGCGAAAACAGACCGAACGACAGCCGAGTTGAGGCGGTTCTTTGTTCAGGGAAAGGGGGGAAATCCACTTTTGGGCGTCATTAAGATTTGGGGAAGGGGTGGAGGTAGGTATGTTGTTTACATTGTCGTCGTCACATGCCGGTGGATGGGGGTGGATGAGGATATCGTCATTTGGCGGAGGCCATGCCAATTACACGTTTATACTCTCTTCGTATTCATGAGTCGAAGGAGTCATGTCGTCGTCGGTTAGTTTGATGCTCTCGGGAGATCTTCACTTTGTTGTTGCTTGATTGTGTTGATGTGGTTGTTTGCTGCGTTATGGTATCCGCTCACTCTCAACTTACGACTGTCACGACTTGCGATGGTGTGATCTTCATGCCGGGGATGACACATAACGGTGAAGTTTTACAAAGTGTAGACTATGATATCTCAAGAATAATGATACCTAACAATAGGGTCAAGTATGGTCAGGATGTTTGTTCTGTTTAGTAGGTCTATTGGTCGTCACTATCCAGGTGTATGTAATGTATCTAGTCAATGGTGCAAAACATCAAGCAGCATAGACTTGATATCATATTCACATAATATACCTCGTGCCACACCTATACAACATCTACTCGCCGTAAGACATGTTTATTACCTGGGTTCATCAGGTCTAGCTGTTCAGCTCCCTATTGGAGTTCCAGCTCACAACAACCGGTGGTAGGAGAATTCTATTGCCCACACTTATAGAGTGGTTAAACCATCATTCAGCATCGACAAGTGCTGGACTTGTTGAAGGTACCTAGTTACCAGATATCATAGGTAGGTAGAGCTATACATGGGGCCTCAAGATTGATCAAACCTTTACCACCCTCGTCAACAACCCCAGCTAGACCCGATACAATGACCAACATGGGAGATTTTCAAATCTCTTCACCCCTTGCGTACACCACACCATTCAAGCTTTCTCCCAAGTCCCCGATCTTCCTCCACCGGTCCGGTCTTCCAAAGTGGATCATCCAAACTTTTCTTCCCCCGTCAACGCCGCAACTCCAAACCCGGCCTGGACCCGGGTCACCCGGGTCCTCTGCGGGGCCGAGACCGCACAGACAACAACCAAACTGCCATACGCCGCCGCCCGCCCGCCCACCAACCCCAATCTGATCTTCAAGAGGCGTAGTAGAAGGGGGTTTGTTGACATGATGAGACATCTCCGCCTGTGTCGCACCTTGTGGTGCACCGTGACCCCGTGACTCATGATCAATATTTGACATCCTGGCCACAGAAGACCATCGAATTTGTTCATCAAATTTGAGATGAGCATCTTGAATTGCAAAGATGCGGGTTAAATTATCAATGTACACCTCGCACATATCCAGTTCACAACCGCAATTCCGTAACAAATTCCCTGCAGAACTATTTACTTGAAGAAACGCTACGGTAATATCCAATACTAATTACTCTGTCCATCTCGGCAAGTTTATCGTTTCGTACCTAAACTACTGCCAATTTTCTCGCTTCCAACCCGAAAACAGAGTGTTGTGTCTCACATGTCGGAATGCCCCAAAACCAGCAGAGACATAACACCGGCGGGGGGCTCGGTTCGGTGGGAAAAAAACCTACTGCGACTACTGCAGTATGCACAATGCATATGATGTATTAATATGTAAGAGCAAAAAAGTGGTGAAACCCTTGATGCCCAACCCTAAACTACACTCAGAAACAACTCTTTGACGGTGAGAGTGGTAGAGAGGGAGAGTAGGTGCATGAACTAGTATGCAGACTATTTGGGGGTCAGGCAGGTGTTGTTTGGTAATTGTTCCCGAATGGGAGGGTATCGTCGAGGTCAACGTTTTGGCTACTGTCTGGTGTTTTGATATTTGAAACCACAAGTGTTAGTGGTTCCCGCAAGGTTTGCTGAAAGTGTTAACAGAAGCCAGTTGCTCCACCACTGGAAACGTCCACGGGGATTCCATCTCGGAATTCCATAAATGACCCTGGAGGTTCTAACGATAGTTCAGTGCCGACCATCCCTTTATCGTTCTCCCATGCGAACCATGCGGTGAGCAACAGTCAAGAGCTGTCCGAATATTATGCATATCATGTCAGCAGCTTGTATGCTTCCGTCTGCAATATCAATCACATCTCAGGTCAGCAGATGCATACACACACAACTCTACAGAAGCCAGCTCAAAGCAATTATAACCGTGCCGCAGCTCGGCGGTGGATTTCCTTGAATCCAGCATGGTAGTGTTGCAGCGTATCCGGGGCAGACAGAACTGTGGAGGCGGCGCGGCGTGGCGTGGGCAGACACAACAGGCGACCTCCAGCAGTTCACACTGATGAATAAACTGGTGACAGTTCACATCTTGGAGTAGCGGTGTGGCAGGGTTCTCCCCTCCCTCCCCAGCTGTAATTGTTCACTGTTAGCTGTCGAACAAAAGTCCCCGTGATTGGATCTCCAAGATCAAAAGAGGGCATGGGGCCTGTGCTCTGTTAACAAGATGCCAATCAGTCGGCAGGATCTCACCGTGCGCGAACCATGGATGGCACGACCGGGGCTTCCAGGAGTCCAGAGCATTCACCCAATGCCATGACTCGTCTTGAACACAAACGTCCTCTGCCGAGCAAAAAAGCGCAATGGGGAAGCTCTCGAACAGGCGCAGGCACACACAGCCCGGCCCTGGGCGCGTCCCGTCAATTGGACAATGCATGTTCCCTGTGACCTCTGTCTGTTCCCGATGGCCCCACTCCGCATCCAGGAGGGCGGCCGGCGAGAGCCACACTCCAGCGGCGCACCACTGACCAGCAACTTGTGTGGTGTCACTGGTGGATGTGTGAATTCTCACTTTCTCTGTCCCACTGTTTCGCCAGATGAGGAGCGCATTGATGAGAGCCTGACAGCTCTCGCCCCAAGAACTGCATGTCTCAGACATCCGGGAGCAGCAGGGAGGGAGACCCCTCGATACCCCTCCTCTCCCTTCCTTGGGCCCACGGACAAACCGGTAACTGCCAACGCCCAGAAACAGGCACCACCTCAACAGTTTGTCCCCACACTGGGGCGAACTCCCAATCAGCCAGTTAAAACTGCAAGTCGACGACGAAGCACTAAAATACAGTATCTACTCAGAAAAAGTGAGAAAAAGCTAGCCCGGAGAACCCCCAGAGGCACACACTTTTCTACTTTTCCGGCCAATTGCTTTACATCCTTTTTCCTTGGCCCAAAGCGCCCTTTGGCCACATTTAACCAAAATAAGCTTTACTTGCTAAAGCGCTTTGTAATTGCCCAGGCTTAGGAATCCCTTAAGTAATAGGATTTTTAATAAGCTTTTAACTAGTAAATTAACTAAAATCACTACCCGAATTATATATAACTGGAGTAATATATCTATCTTTACCCTAAATTAAATTAATATAGTTTTTAAGTAGATACTAAGTGGCTGCTGGAAAAGCACGTAGTGAGTGCCGAGTAAATGCTAGGTAAGTGCTAGGTGAGTGCTAGATAGGCACTGAGTAGGTGCCAAATAAGTGCTTTATGAGATATCTTTTGCTGTTTGCAACGCTTTTGCTAGGGCTGCCGCCACGTAGTATTACAGTAATAACTTACTGTAATATAGGCTTTACGTAGACCAATTTTGTCACGGCACTGGCGCGTGACTGGTGGTCCTGCGGGATCTTAGCGCGTGTGCCATATGGAGCTCTGAGAGCAACTGGATGTGGCTCAAGCTTTGCCCTCACAAAAGGCTAGCTTTGTAGCTTCGGTCTAATTTTTACCTTTTTCTCTTTCTTAATTTGCAATTTAATCAAATTGATACAATAAGCTGTATGCTTTATCTCAGTATTTTTGCCTTCCTGTGGCGAATTTTAACAAAAATAAAAAATTAAAGAGTATTGTTATTATCAAAACCAAAAAAAACCCCTAATGAAATATTAAATAGTTAATAACCTTTAATTTATATTTAAATTTATAACTTTTTATTGTATATTTACTATTATACTTTTACTATAATTTTAGTTTTTTAATAAATCTACTATAGATTTTATATATTTGTAGGTATTAATTATATGATAATTTAATCTACATAGAAAAGCTGTTATTATCACGGATTGGCTAGAAAGTCTGAGACAAAGGCAAATAATTATCACACCAAATTGATTGAATTGCAGGTAAAGAAGAAAAGAAGCAAAATCAAACCAGGGCTTCGAAGCAGACCTTTTGACGAAGGAAAGCTTTGACCACCCGGTCGCTCTCAGAGCCCCACATGGCCCACGCGCCCAGGATCCTACGGACCCACAGGTCACGTGCCAGCGCCGTGACAGTTATCACTAGCTTATTTATTTTACCTTTAGATTTTTTTCAATAAATCTATAGTAGAGAAATTATAAAGATTAATTACCTATAAGATTAAAGACGCGAAGTTAATATATATATTTGTTTAAATATTATAGTTATTTTAATATTTTTACAAAAGCGCCTAGGTAATTACTAGAGCGCTTTATAAAAAGGCTTACTTTAGTGAAATGTAGTAGAATTGTGGCTTTGGCTAAGAAAAAAGTGGAGTGGTTAGTTGCGAGGAAATTGGCCGGAAAAGTGGGTGCCCCTGGGGTCCCTGGGCTAGCTTTTTCTCACTTTTCTAAGTAGATACGGTAGCTTGCTTTCATGCTCTGGCAAGCCCCGCTTCAGGCAGTCAGGCCACCCGGACTTTGAAACACTATTTGTCGTCGGTTGTCGGTAAAGCTTCAGCAGAGCAGAGCCACGAGTGCTCTTTTGAGAGACTGTTGTCAGATAATGGATAAAAGCGGAAGAATGCTGGTTGGTGATGGACCAGTATGACGCTGATGGGGTGACTTTGGGTGCCACCCAGCGAGCCAGCGAGAGAATCAACGGCATCAAGAGAGGAGTTGTGCCCCTTTCGTCACCCCACCAGCGGAACGGCAAGGTGGGGGGTTCTTTCGTCTTCTCGAGGGTGACAGCAGTTCGGTTCCAAACCAGAAAATGGAACCAGGCGGTCAGTTGGTCTGATATGGTTATGTCGTGGCACGCAGAGGGCGATCCGGCTGAAATCCATCAGCGGAGATAAATCGCCCTTTTTTTCCTTCAGGATGCTGCATTTGCAGGCGCACAAGGCGGCTGCTGAAGCAAACCAATGGCTCTCCCGGGCCGGCGTCAAGTGAATGGGCAGCGTGGGCAGCTTGTTGCTCCTTGCATGCGGAGTCAGCAGCCGAGTGCTGGGTCCTGCTTTTGGCTGCCACTCACGCAGCAGCTCCCGCTCGTGTTCGCAGGCCGTCCTATGTGGCACTATGCAGATGGATGCAGAATACTGGGCGTAGAAGCCTTTCCGGCAGCTAGCATCATCAGCGTCACCAGCGCCAATCAGTGGCAAGCAATGCGGTTTGTTGCGCCCTTGGATCGCCGGCGAGATGGTGGTCTGGGTGCCGGTGAGGGGAAGCAAATCCGCCCGCCGCAATCATAAATGGCCGGGATCTGCGGGGTGTTAGAGAAGAGTGAGAAGACAGAAGAAGAACACACCAGCCACGTTCGGTGTCTTGCGTCTGTCGAATGCAACTTCAGAAAGCTGCACGGGAAAGGTCTCGCGGTGTTTTACCGTGACCACCAGCCAGTCAAAGCATGGAGATGGAGCGCCCTCGCCACAAGGCTGGGCCGGAGAGCGCTGCCAATGGCCACTCAGCTGCACTTAATTATGCATCTCGAGCCGCTTGCAGCAACGCAATAACGGGTGGTATGAAGGTCCAGGCCACCACCGATTGGGCCGCGGGCGCCAGTTTCAGTGTAAACACCGATGAACCCTCCCTCTCTCTCCGCAACTGGGAGAAAATACGGAGTAGTTCGCATCGAGATGCGCATCATGGTGACAAGGCAAGGCAAGGCAAGGCGGCGATAAGCGACGGGATGTTTCGAGGCGTCTGTCCAAAGGTAACGAGGAACAAGAATGACGGGAGTCCGGGAACTCAAAAAGGGACGTGGATCGACAAAGGAGAGGGGATGGAGGACATGGTAGAAAAAGATACATTGAATGCCACCAGAATCACCAGTGTATGGCGGTATCAAAAGAAGAAGAAGCGGTGGTGTCGGGCCACGTCGGGTGACGATTGTGGGCAGGAGACGGAGTGGAGAATCGGGCTTGTCGAGGGTTTGCCGGCTGGCAGGAGGGGCAGCGCCACACTCCAACCAGCGACGGCCAGCACCGTCAGACCGTTTTCGGCATTGGCTGGCGGAGGACGCACAAGGCAACGCCCAGCCCAAAATTACACGACAACAGACCCTAAGCTGAATTAGGGTTAGCGTGGACTTGGTAACCAATCAACAGAAAGAAAGTGGATACCTTTGCCACCCGGGCTGCAAGAAAAGTGGCCAGTGCATTCGCTCAGAGTGTGTCTGGTGCTCGTCTTGGTGTGGGTGTGGCCCGGGGTCCTGCCTCTCGCGTGCAGGAGACCCCTGTAGGCCACCCCAGTGCCCCCCATCCACCCACCATTTCCCTCTGACCAACCCATTTGCCCGTTCCGATTGCTCTGTCCCTCTCCTCCCTCGCCTCTCTCCTACTTTACCTCTCAACCTACCCATCTCCTCGTCCCACCAAAACCACCACCAAAACCTATCCTCCCCCCAAAACCAAAAAAAGGCGTTTCAACAAGAATCACCACCACGACACAACTCACACGACCACAACGATTATTCCCATCTAATTCGGTTCATTTTGGCAATCAAATCCACAGCGCCGTCCACCTCACTTGTCGCCCTCGGTTAGCCCGGTTTCATTGTTATTGTTTCAAAATTGCAGCTCGGCTTCCGCACAAAACCCTCGCCACACCCACAACCACCACCGCAACCACCACCTCCAGACTCACCATTCGACCCCTTCACGACGACGACGCTTTTTTGGCTTGAGAGTGTCAACACCATTCATAATGTCTTCCTACTATCAATTGCACCAGCAGCATCCAACACCTGCCACAGCCCCTGCCGTCTCGCACACCCACCATGGCGGCCGCAACCGGAGAGCCCCCAGGTTATCGGTCTCGCAGCATCCCCAGAAGCAGTTTCGCGGTGTGCGCAGCATGAAGGAGTTGACCGAGTCGGTAAACCTGTCTAGCTTTCGGTCAAGATTCGAGGCCTGCCGGTCCTTTGATCTGGAAGACGACATGGAGTTCTGCCCAGGCCTGTTGACCGAGACTGATGTGAGCACTCCCCCTCCCTCTGGCCCGGCGCCATTGGTGGACACGGACCTCTTTTGCACCGCTGCCACGTTCAAGAACTGACATTGATGGCCCCAAAGCTCGTGTCGATAAACAGCTCGTCTTCGGAGCGTTCTTCGCTGGCAAGCAACTCACCCCAAGGGTCTCCCACTCAGCAGCCCATCCAGGTCGCCCACTACCCTGTCCAGACCGGCTCGCCAGTGTATGCTCCTCCATATCAAAGCCACTCTAGCAACCTCAAGATCCACCAGCCTGCCGCTACCCGCGCCCGCAACGCCATCCCCATCGTCAACCCTGCTACCGGCATCACCATGTCGAGCCCACCTCCTTCGGTCTCTCCCGCCCGGATGCAGCCGCAAAACATCGGCCGGCGGTGGTAAGTTGGGGCTGTCGTCTCGCTTCCGCTGTGACGCTAGACGAGATTGAGAGCCCCGACTGAAACGCCGTCGTCGTCGGTGCAAACTACGAACATTGTAAAATTACTTGCATGCGCACATTCGTTCCGAGCAGCTGTTCATCTTGGCGGGCACCGAAAAGAAAAGCAAAGTAGCAGGCATCGATTCTTCTTTTTTTTTTATTACCACCTTCCCTCTGGCAGGCAGGGGCGACAACTTCACCATGGATACTCGACTTCCTTGCACAACCCCCTCACGATACCCTTATCACCTGTACAAAACAACATCCTTAATCGACTCTTGTGCGACTTGTTTCGAAGCGGAAAAAACTTTTGACTTTTGGGATGGCGCGATGAAAGAATAATCGATACCTCTTCGTTTGTTGTTTCTAATACCACAAAACGTATATTATTTTCGGGCCGGTGTTTCCGACCTCGAAAGATGAGGGCTGCGGTTTTTGTTTTGCGGTTTACAACGAATGGGCGTTTTTCAGGTGGTTTTGCATCATCAACAAGCCAGCTTCATTGTTTTTGCATCGGTGTCTCACGACGGAGTTTCACAGCGGTCTTCACTTTCTGGTTCTTTTTCTCGATACCATACAACATTTCGGGCTGGCGTCATCTCTTTTGCGTCTCGTCGTTACGGGAAGCGACGACTTTTCAGTCTCACGATAAAAAAAACGTCATTACGGTCTCACGGGTCTTTACGAGTTCATTACAAAGAAAAGAATATCGACATATAGAGTGGCCCGGGGGTCTCTCCTCGGCCGTCTGTTTGGGGCTGGTTGGGGGTGCTTTTTCTCTCTTGCAACCTAGGTGTTCTGATCTTAGGGTGGTGCGGGTTTTACAACATGGGCGAAATATCTTTTTTTGGGGAGGTCTGGTCGGCAAAGACATTGCGGTTTTGTTGGTTGAGAAATTTCTCGGGCGAAGGAAATTGGGGAAGGGTGGAGTTGGTTGTGTTTTTGTCTCTGTTTCATATTGTTGTCTATTGTGGCTATTTTTTGGCCTCCTCTCTTGTACCATTGGGGTTGGGGGGGCTTGGGTGGCATTCGGCGGGCGAATTGTTCACCCATTGATATCCTCTTATTTTGTGTTGACTTGGGATTTTTTTATTTTGTCAAAGGGCCTTTTTGCATCTCTGGACGGGTACACTACTGGGCGCGCGGAAATCAAATGGTGGGCGGGGTGAAAGCACATAACTTTTTGTTTTCTGGGTTCCCCTTTGCGGGGCCTTCTCTCTATGGAAAGATATCTTTGTCGTATCTTTTGCTTTGGGGTGTAGGCGTCTTGTATTTGGGAAAGCGGCCGCTGTCTGTTGTGTGTGTGTTTGTGGTGTGTGCGTGTTGGTTTTGATAGTGTCTACCTAGCCTGGGTTGGTTTTGGTGGGCTCTCTTTCTATCGGTGGTGTCCAGCGTATTTTTTTTCGTTCCCCAGTTTTTGGGTTTGGGACGAAGAGGGGGCGTTGTGTTTGCCAAGATATGAATAACTTTTTCTTGTGATTATGGGAAATCTTGAACATTGGCCGTGGGTATATGGCTTCTTCGCTCTGATTACTGGTTCCAATTTTGCTTGATATGATGTGTCTATCGGTTGTTGAGAGGTGTATCTAACCGCCAGTTCTCAATGCATAGGCAGTGATCATGTCCCTTTCGAAGTTGGGTAAGAACCTACTGAAGTCTGTATCCTCGTTGTTGCTGCGGATGGAGAGGTGGAATGATACGCCACGTGGTCGGGACAGCATGCTGGCGAGCGGGGACCAAGAGGTCAGCTGAGTTGCTGGTGGGCGAATCATGAGTTTATGGAGTCGGAGAGGAACATGAGGAGCATTGAAGGAACTGCAGATCTAAACTGAAGGTTGATGGAAACGGTGGGTTTGGCGCGAACGGTCACGGTTGATGTGAGATGGGTTAGGATCCTCAAGGTCGGGTTTTTTACGGCGTAAAGAGACTCCGCTGGCTGGGTATATTTAATGGAGTAATTTTGGAGATGATGGTCGGGGAAAGTTTGGGTCATTTTGGTGGTTGGGTTGTGGTTGCTGTGGATGTGGTTGATGTGTGGGTGGGAAAAGGGGCTCAGGGGGTGGTGTTTTCTATGGCTGTGGCACAAAGATACCACTATGGGTACCTTTATTCTTAGAGACTCTCTATAAGGATCATGCTGCTTTGTGTGTCTTTTGTGATTTTGCTGCAAGTGCAATAGCTTTTTTTCTTCATTGTCAGATGTGGTCAGGGAAGTGAAAGTCATCCTGGTTTTGAAGATCTGTATGTAGGTTCACTTATCTGACTTTTGTCCGAGTTGGACGGGGGAGTATCTTGGTGTTCTCTCTGCTGGCTGACCTCGGGTTGGGGGTGTGTATACTGATGCGAAAGGGTGGAGATCTTGTCTCAACGTAAAGGCTCGGGGCCTCTGTCTTTGGCTATCTTGCTATGTCATGGTATACCTCTTGGGAGGTAGGATTTTCTGTTGGGGTGCTCTTGGTAAGCTTGGAAGTAGGTATTGAGAGCTGGGGTTGATGTACGGTAAGTGATACGAGGTGAGTTTGCCTTAGCCTTTATAAGGGCATTACTCCGGATTGATAGAAAGTGCAAGATCAGAGGTAAATCTTGTTCCAGCTCGTCCAAGTAAGATATCTGGACAACGATGGATTACAGGCAAGGTGTGTCCCAGCTTGACCTGTCCGAGGGCAATCCGAGCAATACCCAAAGCCGTAGTCAAGCAAGTCTCTCTCAGCGTCCTCTGTCTTACTGACACTCTGACTTCTGATACACCCAGTCCATCTGAGCTCTATTATCAGAGGTTATCTCAACAGTTTCCTGTCCCCGCCTGTCTCTTCCATCGAGATGAGTTAGTGGGGCCGATAGTGAATAGTTTGCCATGTTGCTCCCATCCAAGCTGATTGAAGCAGTCAATTATGTGGGGCATGATCAAGTGATAGTGGAAAGGTAGTATATAGGCTTGCTCTGCGGGTTGTTGGCGATCTTTCTCTTCTACCCCACAAGCCTCTACAATCGACTCAGAAACAACTCCCTGTATAGGTACCTCTCGTTTCCACACGGCCCGGAATTGTATTTCGCTTTGGCGTCCTTCGCTAGCAAAAGGGACAATCATGTCTAATACAGGTACACCGTTCAAAGGCTCGTGCCAGATTAGGCCTCGGCCCCGTCTGGACCAGTAAGTTGCTTCCATCATCCCAATGGGATGTTGTCAACGGCGACATCATCACTAGCAGGATTGCACCTTCCCTGAAAAGCCGGGCCAACTTTCGTCGCCGAGCTCTGGGCCTATAAATCTTTGCGCAGCTTGCAAATTCTCTTCCCTTTCTTCTCTCTTTCACCACACCTCACACTCACGCTTGGAGTGCCTGGGGCGACAATCCGCCAGCTCTCATCTCCATTCATATCCTCATTGACACTCACAATCACATACACAAACGGAAACATGCCTCGCCCAGCGGCTAACTTTTTCGACCCCAGTTGGTTCGCCGGCCGGATTGTGACCATCTACCTTGGTCCTGATCTCCAGGCGCGGAACGTTCACGAGAAATTGCTGACGCAGAATTCACCCTTCTTTACCCGCTTGCTTAGTGGCGGTACACGTGCGACGCTCACTTCTGGCGAGGGCCTTGCTGGTCCCGCCTCGCCTGCCAGCTATCAGGATCTCGGCCAGACTCAGGCCTCTGTCCAGCAGCCTCATGGTTTTGGTCAGGCTCAAGGTCTTAGTCCAGCCTCCAGTCCTGCCAACACTCCTGCTTCACAGAATGAGGAACCCATCAGACTTCCTGATGTCGACCCCAAGCTCTTCAACATCTTTCTGCGTTGGGGCTATGGCAATGCTTTTGCTCTCTCTGGCAACACGGGCTCGTTTCGGCTCCCGGCTCCTTACGAAGATTCTGAAGGGGAGAGTGCCACTATCCGCGATTAGTATGAGTTTTTGCTGATTTATACTCTCTTTGGTCACCTGCTAACTCTTTGACACCAGCCTCGGTGTCTACGTTCTCGGCTACAAATTCGAGTGCGTCGGCCTCCGCAACGCCTGCGTTGATGTCCTCTACGATTACCTGGGCCCTGCCTCTGCCGATCACGTCTGTCTCAGCATGCAGGACGTCGCCTTTGTCTTTGAGAACACCCCCAAGGAATCCCCCATGCGACGCTTCCTCGTTGCCCACCTCCTCTTCTACATCTTTTGCCTCAACCGCCGGGGCACACCCCTCCCAGAGGAATGGGGCACCGTCCTTGAGAAGGGGGACTTTGGGATCTCCTGGACTCTGATCCGCATGCTGGGTGACTGGAACTGGGCCATAGGTGACAATGTTCCGGTAATGATCATCAAGCCGCGCTCCGAGTTTTATGAGAAGACGCCCGCCCAGATGCAGAGGCTGCATTACCTTGCGAGCGTGGGACGCATAAGCAGTGTGCCGGAGAATAGCGAGAGCAGCACCAATGCTGTGATGATCAAGAGGGAGGATGGGGCGGTTGAGAGTGTTGGTCAGTCGGGTCTTCGACAGGCTGCCACGACGGTTCAGGGCTTGAATGGGGAGGCTGCTCAGGCTCCGATGACGCCTTCTCGGGGCAACGTCCTTCCTGGGTCGAGGGTTGGTCCTGTTCGGACTAATCGCAGGTTTGGCCGTGGTGGTCCTGGGGGGGATCACCCTGCTGAGCCGTACCATATTGATGGTTGAGGGGCTTTTTTCTCTCGACTTCTCGCCTTTTCTTTCTTGGCCGTCTTCTTTTCTTCTGCGGTGTCATTATCGTCAACTTTTTCGGCCAACGGACATGGAATAAGGTGATGGAAGGGTGGCATGCATTTCCTTTCTCTCATCATCAAGGAGCACGGCTGGCGTTTTTGCGGTTTCTTTCATGGTGCGATACCCAGGGCGGCGGTTTTCACTTTGAGTTTCGGGAGGAAAGAGAAGGGAAGAGAGAGACTTGCCTTGAGGCAGCATGGGGGTTTGCTCAGCAAGGTAGCAGGTTACTTTAGTTAGAGGGGGGGTGGGAGGGCTAAAGTAGTCTTATACAACGGCTTTGTTTTCAGTGTTGGGTGGGTTTCCTTTGGGTGATATGCTATCCCGTCTCATGTTGAAGGTGGGCATCGACACCAAATGGCCACCAACTGGGATCGCCTTCTCCAGAGCACTCGCCCTCCCCCAGACGCAATCCGTCGCTTTATCGACACCATATCTCAACTTGCAGAACCCGCGGCCCCCCCCCCGGAAAAGAAGCAGCAGATTGAGCTATCAATCAAGGGACAAAATCCTGCACCATTTGTCTAGATGACATGTTTGACGACGACGCCAAAAGCGCGAGAATCTTAGTCATGGTTCTGAGTTGCCGGCACTACCTCTTTCATCGTATGCACACTCCCTGAATACTCTGGCATAGCCTCCTCCTAGCCCTTGTAACAGGTAGGTGTCTCGCCCCTTGGATAATCCAGACATCTACCCACAAGTGCCCGCTGTGCCGCCAGTCTTTGGACCCCCTCAGGCACAGGTTGTATTATGCGGACCGGGAAGACAACTGGGAGCCCCATGGCCAGCCGTCGTTTTTATCACAACGGGTCGGATCCCCCCAAAGATGGCGCGCCGGAATGGGGTGGGATGGGGGTAAAAGATGTTAAGCTAGAGGGCGGTAGGAACTTGCGAGTATTTGTATGTGATTAGTGCGCTCAAGGATCGTATTTTTTTTATTATTAAGCCCGGTGGAGGCTCGCTCCCCAGGTTCAAGTGATCTGGCAACACGTTGGGGACCGCATTCCCGTTTGTTTTGTCCGATTACACTCCAGCCACAACCCACTCACCCTCCGCCATGGCCTGGTGATCACCGGACATTGCTCTGTTTTGGCCCGGAGCCATCGAGCCCGGCTTTTGAGCTGAACCAACATCTGTAATTCTCTCTCGGATCATGTCAAGGATGAGCGGATTAGCAGTTCAGAACAGCGTCGACGCACTCCTTCAAGAAGAGGCGCTTCCTCGCGAGGAGGAGCCCGAGGAGGTCTCTCTTGAGGGTCTCTCTCTGGGGGAAATCCCTTCTGATTGGAACGGCCCTGAAGAAGACATTTTCGACCAAATCGACAAAGAAGATGATTCTATCCAGGGAGACGACTGTACCCAAGAAGACGACTCTACCCAAGAAGTCGAGCTCACCCTAAACGAGATCCACCCCAACAAACAATACAACCCGCCGTCAGACACAGACAACTGCAGGGTGAGGGGAGACGAGTGTGCCATCTGTCTTGATGGAATGAAGAATACCGTCATACTGACTGAGTGCTGGCATCCATTTCACTGTATGTGTGGTTGTCACCTCACTGCCCTCGTTAAGCTCTAACTGTGGCATACCTACAGATGATTGCCTCGCGAGCTGGCTAAAGAAGAAATACAACTGTCCAACATGTTTGAGGAAAGTGGACCTGAGGAAGGTGGAGTTGTATTGGGTTGAAGGAAGGGATCAATGGGAGACTTTGCCGAGCCAGGGGCTAGAGAGTGTTCATGATGAGTTGGTGGGATTGCATACCTAGGTTAGGAGTTGGGGACTTCACAGCATTGCCCTGGAAGGGTTGAGCTTGTGGATGATTGGGAAAGATAGCTCGCTGCTGGGGTGTTTTAGGTCGAATATCTGGAATCTTTGACATTGATCATGCCCCATGAATGGATGTACCCATCCACATCGTCCATGTATGCAGAAAATAAGCGTGCCACACACCCTCCTCCGGCAGCCCCCAGCATCCCCAAGCATATGGCGGTCTGAAGTTTACCAGAGAAAGTAAACTCCAGCCCCATCCGAACCCTTCCTTACGACGAGTGATTTTAAATCCGGGTAC